CTCAAGCTGGACAATGCGTCTAATAAGTCATCTGAATCACTGGACTCAAAATCGGACATCTGTAATATTTTAAAAAGTTTATTTAAAACACCGAGTTTTTTTATATTCTATTTTTTATTACCACAAGTAAAAATTCCATATTAATAATACAAGAATTACTATTTTTTTAAAGGCAACTTCCTGTATAAAATGTGTCTATTTTTTACTAACATTAAACTAAAATCTTTAACAAAGTAATTATCAAAAACATAAACCTTACTTATAGGTTAATGTTAATATTAATAAGATTACGTCATAAATTCCTTGAAAACTAGTTTCTTTCTACGAACACCAAATTCTTCTCATAAAGCAAATATTTTTTATTATCTATTTAGTTTAATTACAGTCCGGAATGACATATTTTCATTATATATATAATTCAAAGTAGCTTACATTATTTATTTTAAAATTTTTAACACATTACAAAAATGACATGATTGATTTATAATTCAAACTGCCGCTTTTTGTCTCCCCTCTCTACATATGGGACATATGGAACACTAGCGCCCTCTTATTTTTGTAAGATTTTTGTTTACATGGAGTTCGGCCTCCTTGTATAGTCTCCATGGTGAGTCTGCTCCTACTGTTTTGACTGTCAGGTGTCACTGTTGGACTGTTGTAAGGTTAGTTGGTGTAACCTGCTGACCTATTCATAAATGTATGCAAGTATATATATAGTGTTGTCCGTCTTGTCAAAAGATTCTTTTTAAGATATTTAACATTAAAAACACGTGGCGCCAAAAAACTTCACATAATACTTGTTACAAAATTATTTCTCACGTCATAATTTCAGTTAATATTTCTCATAAACATAAGTAAGTACCTTAATTGTAATATAATTTATAATAAAATTTAGTTCTTAAAAATAGTCTCTGTTATGATGAGCTTGATTTTTATTTTTTGTGCATAATGGTCAGCTCGAAAAACAAAGCCTTTTGTAGATCGTAAAAGTGGCTGATGTAACAATAATCTTAAATTACCTACATATATTTAACTTTATCTTATACCGGCACCGGCACTAATAATATACTAAATAATGATTGATTTTGATAGAAATAAGTTCGTTAAATCCGTAAATTTCTGTAAGTAAGAATATTTTTGTAAGAATGCAGAAATTATTTTAAAATTTGTAACATTCTAGATTTGCTTCAAAATAGTTGCAGAGTTCAATTTTTTGTATGTTTTAGATTTTGTAAAATCTCGTAATTCATTATTTTTTTATTAAGTAAAAGACATTTTTTAATACTTGAATGATAATCATGATTAGTTTCCGAGATATTTGGTATTTAAGATGCTGCAACTTTAATATAAAGAATGTATAAAAAAATATAACGCCGAAATAGTACGATATTTAGGCGGCCTAATTACTCAATATATTTGTTCATTGAAAAACATTTGTATTAAAAAATGCAATAAATATAAAGGTGTACTATTTGAAAGAATTAAGTTAGGTAATTTTCACCATAAGCGGGACATCCTATACAGGGTGTCTCAACATGACAATGTCCCTGGGGCAGACACAACTAAAATATCTAGACCTCTCCAGCACTTTCGGTTATACCGGAAGTCGACATCAGCTTCGTTATTTTAAACGGGACACCCTATATATTATTACATTTTCGGATTCTACGTGAAATTTGAGGGTCACTTTATTAAATATTCCCTATACTTAGGAGTTATAGAATTTGAGGTATTAATATTTAAAGAAAAAATTTGACAGATGCAAAGGTCCGCGGAGATACTAGTAACTCTTTTCAGGTGCGTGATATCATGTGGATTTTTGGTACCTGCAAAGGGCATAAGTAACACTAAATTAATGGTACCAACAAATGAAAACATTTAATACTAGGTGTTTCATTATTGCTGTTTCATTTTGATAACTTCAAACAGCTATAAGTTTGTTAACTTAAATGGAACACCTTGTATTTTTTACTCTGTCATATCGCACCTTCGCTTCAAAAGTGTCACAACTCAAAAAATTCAATTTTTGACATAATACCACCATTGATTTTGATTTTCAGTTAGTTGCAGTTAAAATGGTTCCAAAATGCTATTTGGTTTTTGGCCCCTTTGCTGAAACCTTTATAATCATCAATAATGTTTTTAAACAATTTAGTTACTTTTGTCGCTAGAGCTTTTTCATCTTTTCTGAAAAATGAAGGATTTTGACTTGTGACACTTTTGAAGCAAGGGTGCGATATGTAGATTGAAATTTCCTTTCAAACCATATAAGCATTGTTAAGGTTGCTGTTACTACTTTTAGAGATATTTGCAATTTTCTATTTATTGGACAGTTTTTCTCATATCGGAGACCTGTGGTCAAATTGGTCAGAAACACTCCAAAATAATAGAAATAACTTGACATTTGTCATGTTAATTGTCAAATTATTGTTGCATCTGAATAGTTTTTGCCGAAAATTTAAATATAAATGCCTGGGTATCATTTGAGCTACTTTCGAAAACACTGTATGTTGTACGGTACATTCTTTCCGTAAAAGTTAACACTTTATTAGTCATTGGTCTATGCCAGCATGCTTGGAGATACACATTTGAATAATTATATATATTTTTTATTTTTGAATTTCAAGATTCTGTATCTCGCAAACCAACGACTTTCTATTCTTGCTAAAGTATTCAAGGCTCAAATGATCTAAAAGGAATTTTGCTACTGCATAGTTCTGATAGATACATTGTTTATTAAGTTACATAATTACACTGTTTTATGTGTTGCTCATGCATTTTTATATGTTTTTTTTTGTTCTATTTATTATTTTATGTCACGCAAAACCACTAAACTATTATGATTACTGCTATATTTTTTATAATCTACGAAATTATCAGAAAAAATAAAACAACCATTAATAGAACATTATATTTGCAGGCAATAAAATGTGCGGAATTTGGGCAGTTTTTGGTTTGACTACAAATTTACATACACATTGCGCATCAGCATTTTCTAAAATTGGTCATAGAGGACCAGATGCATGGAGAGTAGAGTATGACCGGAAATTGAAAGTAAGTAGATACTACAAAAAATACGTTATTTCCACGATATTAAATTATGCATCTTTATAAATTTTTATATCATACTTATATGTTATACAGAGCAATAGGTTGATAAACTTTTCAACCTTTTGTTGACAGAATATATCTAAAATTCCAATAAATATGAGAATTTCTATTTAGCCAAGTTTACCATTTAAATTGGATTTTATTGTCTGACAAGTCTCAATAATTTAAGCCAGGTACTCTTAAATCTTGACGGTATACAGTATGTCCCGGAAGTGGTTGGAAAAAATAAATTAAATTTTTCTATTCTAATTTCTCTTAAAACTCATTTTAGGTTGCATAGAGGATAGAAATCATGTTTTTTCATGTTTTTTCAATTTTTTTTAAATGGCTGCAGTTAGAAAAATTACTTTTGGCACTGATAAACAGAGCTGGGAGTATTGTGACAAAAAAAAAACCAAATAGTATTTTAAATATAAAATAGTATTTTGTATTTTGTGCTTAAAATACTTTTGTTATCACTAGAAAATTATTTTCTATTTCAAATACTTTAATAAAAGTATTTTGTATTTTGTATTTTAAAAAAGTATTTAAAATCTTCTAAAAGTAATTTAAATACTCTTGAGTATTTAAATTACTCGAAGTATTTAAAATACTCAAAATATCTACCAAAAACAAATACTTTTTGCCTGTTACAACTGGCAAATGTACAACACATGCTAAAAAAAATTACGCATCTGCAGAGTAGAATGTCCTAAGCATTCTACTCTGCATTCTGCAATGTGCGTTGTGTTATTGCTGATCTGTCTACTACCTTTTAGGTCACTATTATCACTAGTCAAGTCAGTAGTCAATCATCAAAATTTAAAATTAATTTCTTTTATCATTATAAGAAGAACTAATAAAAAATAATGAGTGAATGAAATATTCTGCATCTCAGTAAACTAAATGAAAATGATTGTTTCCAGTCTCGTGTAGTTTTTTTTTTTTAATTTTTTGATCTTGAAATCGGTCTTGTCTTACACATACAATATATTTTTTTAAGTCACATCCTAAGAGTTTCAGATTCAATATTTCACAAAAATATTTTAAATACTGTTGATGAATATTTTAAATTTTTTTTTAATATTCAACATACTTAAAATACTATTTTAATAAGTAATTTATGTTTAAAATACTTTGCCAAAGAAGTATTTTGCTTTTAAATATTTTAAAATACCTTTACTAGTATTTTGTAAATACATTTTGAAAGTCTTTTGCTCAGCTCTGCTAGTAAAGCTCTGCTGTTTGTGCGCAGATTTGCACCATCTTGCATTTTTTTTTAAATTTTGGGTAGGTGGCCTGTCATTTGTTATAAATGGATTTTAAAAATTATGATTTATACATATTTTTTTCATGTTAATGTTTGTAACGACAAGGGAAGCTGCCTGATGAAAAAATCATAAGTAAAATGTGGAAACAAAGCGATGTCTTTGTAACGAGCTGTTTTTTATGTGATCAAACTTTGCCATAGGTGAAAGCAAGAATATAGAATGTTTCCCTGAATGTTTTCATTATTTGAGAATGAAAACATGTCAAGTATGTGTTTTTCTATTAATTATTTAAACATTTTAGATTTTATTTTGAATAATTATTTTTTAATAACTGTTTAATGAGTATTAGTGTGGTGTAATCCAATAATAGGTGGGGCATGTAGCCTATAGAGTAGCAATTACAGAAAAGTTGCAGAAAACGAAAATTATAGTCATTGGAACATTTTTTTTTAAATAAATTTTTCCTAGTTTTGACAGATTGGAACAGGGAAATTACACCCTATAAATTATAAATACAGGTATTTTTTTGTTTGACTTTGACTTCTTGAAAATATGTTTTAGAACTGTTGTGTTGGATTTCATCGATTGACTATTGTCGACTGCACATATGGAATGCAACCAATGAAATTACATCAGTATCCTCATTCAATGTTAATTTGTAATGGTGAACTGTATAACTGCAAACGTGTAAGTTTAAGTTTCGATTTTTATTTACTTTCATCATAATTTGATCTCGATGTGTTATATAATTTTCAATTTTTTCTAGTTGGCAGAACAGTTTGATTTCAAGTATGAAACATTTAGTGACGTGGAATGTATATTTCATCTATATGAAAAATTTGGTATTGAAGAATGTGTAAAAAATTTGGATGGTGTTTTTGCTTTCTGTTTAGTTGATGTACCTAGACGAAAGGTTTTACTTGGGAGAGATCCTTATGGGGTACGACCACTTTTTAAGATTCTCAGTCAAAGTGGGATACTTGGTATTTGTTCAGAGGCAAAAGGTAATAATGAACTCTATGGAAATATTGATATACAGATGGTTCAGGTAACTGACTTGTGGTTAAACTTTAAACATTCATATCAGTTAATTAAAAATATATTTGAACGTGAATTTTAAAACAATAATTTTTAATAATTCTTATAGGGCTGACAGCCATTGAAAAGGAACTAAACGGCGAATATAAGAAGTTAGAACCATTTCCACCTGGAACATTTGAAGAATATGACATATTGGAAAATGGAAAAGTGAAACTGGTGAAAAGTCAACGGTATTTTTCACCTGGAGATAAACCATCTTTCAAACCATTTGTCACATATGAAGGTATTTTATGAATTTCTTAATTATTGTGCTACTTAAGGAGCCCACTATCATTTCCTTAGAAACGACCAGTGACTGGTCAAAATGTAAGTGGTCATATTTGATAAGTAATTATGAAGATGATTATCGAATTAAAATTGTGGAAAAAAAGGTAAAAATGTTTCGCAGTTTTATGTGAAAAACATTTTTCATAATCAACTAACACACCTAAGAGAAATGAAGCCCTAATTTAATTTTTTATTCCACAAATTATGTTTGAAATTTTTTGTTGTGAATTATCACCTAAACGACAGTATGAGTTCTACGCTTCATTTTGAAAATATTACCACTAACCAGCCACCACTGAGATTAAGACATATTTTAAATTTATAGGTATTATTATATACAGTGTAAACTCTTTATAACGTCGTTCTTTATAACGAAGAACTTCCTATAACATAGAAATTAGGTCAATTTGGTTGGTGTACGTCAAAACCCATACATTAATACACTATCTTTATAGCGCAACAGCCATTCTCTATTACGAAGAAATATGTTCATATTTAGACACCAGCAAGTATTAATAGTGTAATTGTTTTTATAATCAGCTTACAAAAGGTTCCGACTAAATCTTTGAGGTGCCGAAATTTCTAAGAAAGACCTTGAGGTACTAAACAACTGCCTTGCTTTTGTTATTGCTAATTGCCTCGAATACGTGTGCCATTACTCTTGGATTACATTGTTTCTATGAAATTTTGCACTCAGTTACTAAACGCACTAGGCGCCTATTATGTATTATCAGTCGTAAACCTACTTTAAAACTGTCAAGATGGCCAGTAAAAGAAAAGCGTTATGTGGTAACGAAAAAGTTTGTTTGATACATGCGATAGAAAAAGGAGAAAAGAAGAGTAATGTTTGAAGACGTTTAGGCCTCAGTCCATCTACTGTTGCTACCATTTGGAAAAACAGTAGCAATTCTACAGGCGGAACTGCAGGGAGTGTCTACTAAAAAATTAAGAGAGCCAAAATTCGAAGACTTAAATCAAGCAATGTTGTCATGGTTTAACAATCAGGGCCAGAATAATGTACCCATCTCGGGGCCAATTGTTAAAGCCAAGGCTGAGAAGTTTGCGAACAACTAGGCATTACTGACTTTAAAGCATCAGAAGGTTGACTTGGAAAATTTAAGCACCGTCATAACATTACCTATGGTAAAATGAACGGAGAGGCGTGAGATGTCGATATGAATGTGACTAATGACTGGATTAATAACGTTTGACCTAAATTAATGGATAAGTACTCACCAAATGACATTTTCAATGCTGATGAAACGGGAAAATTGGAAATTATTGTAATTGGTGAAATTTGGTTATTTTTCCTTCTTCCCTCCATTTAACAAAAACTCTTTATAACGAAGAAAAATCCCCGGTCCCTTAAGATTCGTTAAAAAGAGTTTACACTGTATTATATTTATAGGTATTTATAGCCATAGGTAGACTGCAGTAAACTTTTTTATTGTTGATTTTTCGAGAAAAAGTTGTTCTTGATAAAAAGTTGCCTATCTCGGGGAGCCATGGGCATTAATCAAATTTGTAATAAAAAATACAGGGCATCCAAAAAATTTCAAATTGTGAAATATCCCTAAGCAAAGTGCCTTTAATTTTCATTTTCGTTAAAAACTTGTATTTAACAAAGTTTTTCGAGAACTTAAGAAATGCTCAAATACCGGATTTAGTCAAAAAGAATAATAAGAATAAGAAAGAATAATCACATTTTGCAAATAAGGAGATTCGATTTTTAACTCTTATTTCTTAAAACGGACAGAAATTGTAAAAAATAAGTAAAATATTATTTTAAATTTAATATAATATAAAAATAGCTTGGAAGAACAATTTCCGGGTTGGTTACCACGTTGTCGGTTTAGGATTCTTGACGGTTCTTGACGTGTTTCGGCTTTAATTCCTATGATACCCAATTTCCTTGCTTTCGAATCATACATTTAAACGTTTGGAAACTATTGTGTGATCAACATTTAACTATGCAGCAAGTTCATTTTGCGTTTGATATGAATCTTGGTCGAGTAATGCTACCAATTCCTCATCTTTGAACTTTTTCATTTGACTAGGGCTTTCTTTGTCAACTATATTGAAGTCACCACTTCTAAAATGTCGAAATACTCAAACGTTTTTCTCGATGGAGTATGTTCACCGTAAATTTCCAACAGTACTCTATGACTTTCAGCAGCACATTTCTTTGAATTGAACAGGAAAAGTAAAACTTCCCACAAATGGTATTTTGTTGGCTCGTAACAAAATATATTACAAGCTCTGAAAATATGTTCAATAGAATTTGTCTCAAAATGACACATAGTAAAAAGTAAAGCTTAATGACAGAGCTTTGACATGAATATAGTTACAGAGAAGTGTCCAATGTGATAGCATAAGTTACAGCATCTATTAGTCCCTCAAAATTAATCCTAGTATTTTAGAATTTTTTTATTTACTAGCTATTTCCTGGACAGTGTTGGTATAATTCAGTGGCATTGGGGCATGTAGCCATTAGAGTAGTTGTTTTCTGCAATATCAATGGTTATTAATCTAGTTTGTAAAATTATAGATATCTTTTACATATCGAGATTTTTGATGTCGAAGAACATTGTTTGACTACATTTTGTAGGATTCTTTAGGAAAACATTGGATTTAATTCAAGTAGCTTAATACCTTTATAATAAAGTAAAAATATGACAGCTGATAATAAAATATGTATTTTTAAAGAGAAATATCTTTTTAAAAGAGTTAGTAACTTGGTTGATACAAATTTTAAGTGACTCTTGCTTGTTATATTTCTTTGGTAAAGGTGTACATTTACTAGGAAGTCATTCTGAATATCACAGATTTCTACAGTGAAAATGATTGATTTCTTAGTTGTCCTGTTTGTTGAATAACAAATAAAAAAATCTTTATGAATTAGTGTACTTATTTTTTAGATTGTTTTAAATTTAGTTGGATATTTTGCTAAACTTAAAATGAACTGAAAAATATATTTTGGAAATAAACGAATGACTTTCCTAACAAAGCAAATAAAAAAGCTATATTTGTTTGAAATAAATGCTTTTGACACTATACTTTCAATTGGTGCATTAACTAAAAATTTTTTAATCCCATATTATTGATAAAAAGCCAATAATTATTAATGTGTCTTTTAGTTTGTAAGCAAGAACCTGCGGGAGCATTAAATTGACAATTCTTGAATTATAAGAGCTGTTTTAAAATAAACACAATTTTTTTTAAGATTTGATCCCAAACGACCATACAGGCAACATAAGGAAATTATTGACAGAAGCTGTAAGGAAAAGATTGATGGCAGATAGAAGGATAGGATGTTTACTTTCGGGTGGTTTAGATTCTTCACTGATTGCATCTTTATTAGTTAAAGAAGCAAAAAGGGCCAACCTACCCTATAAAGTACAGGTGAGAATAAATTTAATAGAAAATACTTATTGAAATGCTTGCCTTTGTTTTGTTCATATACAGGGTATGTTTTTTTTCCGAGTTAGAGCATGGGATCTTGGTTATTGTAGGAGGTTCTATGTCAGACAAATTAGGGCAAAGTTGCGGAGTTTAATGAGGAATAACTTACTGAAGAGAAGTTTGTCTTATTTTATTTCATTTTGAAGGCATTGATAACTGATTTTCAGTTTTACCTCCTTTTTTTTTTTATCGTAAATTGAAAGCGGCATACTATAAAATTATTTTTATATCACTATTCTATTAGAATGCAAAAATATAAATTTTTTTGTAAAAAAAGATAATTTGGTATTTCGGTAAAAACAAAAAAACATATGATGCATCCTAATAATTAGAAAAATTGAATTGAATAACAGAATTGAATTCAATAATATAACAAACTATATGGTGCCGCCTATAAGAAAAAAAAGTTGAAATTGTTTCTCTGATAAGTATTATGGCTGATTCTACGATATATTGACCCCTTTGCAAAAAAATGTTCTAACATGTTCTTCCTAGTTTAGTTAGTTTTCATTTCTGTGGTGTGTTTTATGTTTATGTTTTATGTTTATTAGTTAGTTTTCTTTTAAAAAAATAAAAACGAAAATCAACATTTTTAGTTTTTTTTTGGATAACTTCGAAATGAAAAGAGATAGGTCAGATTCCTTTTTAGTATGTTATTCGTCGTTAAATTTTACAACTTTTTTCTGTATTTTTTGCAATAGTGAAGAATCCCCAAGATGTAACTTGAAAAATAAATTCTATCATAACTACAACCACATAACTTGAACTGATTTATAATGTATTACATAACAAGGGCTATAAGTAGCATTTTACGTGTGAACGTAATTTTTTCAATAAAATTGTGTGGATTTTCTGGAGCTCAAGTGCTATAATTCTGACTGTCAGACATAACCAGATAAATATACCTAAGTCTAAGAAATTATCATCGTTTAAATGTTCATTAGACCATCGACAATATCGTACTCGTTGGTTGTGATCAGAAGGATGTAAACCTTATAGGGATGCATATGCAGCTGCTTCTGAATGCCTTGTGACAAGTCCCAACTGATACACCTACGGACATACGTTGATTGAAATATTCTCTTGACATATCAATAAAATATGTACAATTATTTTTTGTAAATACACAAATTAACCTGCGTAAAGTTGTAAAATTTTATATGTTAATAAAAAAAATACATTCTAAGAAATTGTAATAAAAATTTGTTCAAAATTATTTAATTATAATCTTAACTTCAGCTTTATGTTAAAAATTTTACATAATTCAAACTATATTAAGTTTATCGCGGTACCTCTGTTTGAGTAGATAACTGCAAAACAGATTTCTTAGGACTTCACACCATTTGTTGCCGAATATCTTCAATGAAATTTTCTGTTAAAACAGTAGGTCTGCTTGTTGACTTGCCCTTACAAATACAGTATTTCTCCTCATATATTTTAATAAGGATTAATTTGTGGTTTTTAAACACATCATATACGATATTAGCATCAGGAAACGCTTCAACAAATCATTCCATACAGGATTGCAAAGTAAGACCAAGTTCCAAGTGCGTTCCGTGTATCACTGCGAAAATGTGCCATCAAAATAAATGCGTCTTGTTCCGGTGCATTTTTACACAAATCTACAAGAAATAAAAATTTAACAAAATATTTGTTTAACTTAGTGGAAAAATGTCAAATTTTTGGAGTTCTGACAAGAATAATATATTTTCAAAGATTAATTTGTAGAAAAGCATAGAAATTCTGGTAAACACTGCTGAATTAATTGTACAAACAATAGGCATAAAGAACACTAAAAGTTACGAACGCCTCTGGATTGACAATTCACCTAGGGTCCCTAATTAGTAGTTGGTAATTTTTCCTTGATAATTTATGCAACACCAATATAAGAAAATCAAATTACTGTGCGCGAAAACAAATCTGGTTACATGGGACTTGGGCATTTATGAAGGCACTGTATTTCAAAATATTGTTAAGTATATTAGCCTTGATATGAAAACATAACCTGTACTATCTCTATGGCCCAGAGTGATGCCTGTCGTCTTATTAATCCTGGGGTTAAAGGTTCGATCCCTGATACAACGATGTTTGTTTTTCGTTTATATTTATTTCAAACACCATTTATTATTAACACATGTGAGTACTTTAACCACATGATATTCAACTAACCAGAAAGTATTGACACTTATACATTCATTTATGGTAGTGAGCGTAGAAAAAGTGTTATTTATTTATTTTGAGTTGTGAAAAAGTTTTCATTCATTTTAGTCATTTGCAATTGGGATGGGTGATAGCCCAGATTTACGAGCAGCCCGTGTAGTTGCTAAACACATAGGTACGGAGCATCATGAGGTGACGTTCACAGAGGAAGATGTGGTTAAAATTCTTGATGATGTAATTTATACACTGGAGATCCCTGATATCACTACAATAAGGGCCTCTATACCTATGTATTTGATCTCAAAATATATTCAAGAAAATACTGATACAACAGTACTATTTAGCGGTGAGGGGGCCGATGAGATTGCTCAAGGTTATATATACTTCAGAGATGCACCGAGTCCTAAGTTAGCTCATGAAGATAGTTTGAGGTTGTTAAGGGAAATATATATGTTTGATGGCCTTAGAGCTGATAGAACAACTGCAGCACACAGGTTAGTTGTAAAGAAATTTTTACTTAATTGCTTTATTTTATTAAATCATTGTGCAGTAACTGTTTTTAAAATTGTTCATTACTGAAAAACAAAATACAGATAGAATCTGGAAACAAATAGATCATACTTCAAGGGGAATTCTGCTTCCTTAACTGCTTAGATTTTGATGATTTAACACAGGTGTTGTTTTTGTTAACCCAAGTTATCTCGATAATTATTCACCAACAATTTTTGTACTACCTAACATATGCTAGCAAATGCTCAATAATGTTTTAAGTGTCTCGGTAATTGGTGGCTCCGTCTTACACCTTTGAACAGGTTGAGCTCATCTTCGTCCTTCATTATTATTATTATTCCACACCCATGTAATACTACTACAGGGGAGAGAGATTACTATTCTGGACAAATAAATATTACTTTTATTTATATATTTGCAAACACGGAGAGCAACTAATTGAATCAAAATCTGATGAAGAGCAGAAGTACGTGTCTGAGTAGCTCTTATACAGTTGCGGCCCTGGGGTAGAGTAGTGAGAGGAGTGGTCGCTCTAGGCAACAAGTGACAAGGGGCGTCAAAATGCCGAATGCGAAACACAATTTCGAGTGAAAAAAAATTTTGCTGGTGCCTTTTGAGATACACCAAATACTAATTTAATTATACAGGCTGATTCACTTTTTATGATTAGGATCTTAACCATCTACAGATCTCGTCAAAATAATGTAATTATGAAGTATACATTTTTTCTTCCAAAATGTTCGAAATGTTGTCCTCGAACCTCAATGCATTTTTCACATCACCTAATTTAGCTTTGAACTGCTCTCCTAATCATATTGGGGTTGTGTTTAAGAGTTTCACAATTATTTTCAATTCTTCTTCTTAACCTTTCAAGAGTACAGACTTACTTTAATATATCCCCAAATGAAATAATCCATGTAATTTAGATCTGGCGATTGTGGCGGCCAAGCAATGGGACTGGTACCAGGTTCTGCATGATTCATTTCCAAAATAGGCTCGATCCAACGATGTGGATAGTGCTCCCTGAGCCACTGCCTAATTTGAAGGTCATAATGAGCCGAAGCGCCATCATCTGAATCCATATATTTTTCCTTACAAGAATCATAAGTTGTCGAGTAAAATATTTAAATCTTCTTTGTTTGAAAAACATTTTACATGTAATGAATCCATAAGAAGACATTTTTCTCAAAAACCAAGCATTTCTTTTAATAATAGTAAGAGATCTTTTTGCTGTAGAATAAACCGCAATATAAAAAAATATAGGTACTCATTTTGAATAATTTCTAGTGTAGAAATTATTATTACAAATAGGGTATCAGGTTATTGATCTATTTTCACAATAATTTGTAAAATCGATAAAGCTTTTCATTCGTACACTTCATACTAAATATAAAAGAAATGGCTTTCATAGTTTTAGAAAAAATAAATAAAAACCAAAAAAAAAGTTTTTTCAAGAGCTTAAAACTTTAAAGGAAGCCTTTGGAAGAAAAAGTGTATACATACTTCAAAATAACATTATTTTGACGAGATCTATCTATGGTTAAAGTCCTAATCATAAAAAGTGAATCACCCTGTATAGCGGTAGGAACTTTATGTTAAAGAAGTAGGAGTGTAATAATTAAAGCTACTTAATTTAATTTAAATTCAATAAGTGTTGATTTTTGCAATAAAAGTAGATATGTATTTGAAAAAGTTGGTAGGTAATTATTATCGATTTAACATAAATCAAAAGGTTCTTATATGCACAACGACTTTTTTGTAGCATCTTGTAGTTGTTGAAAACACTAAATATACAGGATGCCCCAATATTATTCTATGTACATGGAATTTTTACAATTTCAGTTTGTATTTTGTCATAAAGGGAAGGGTTTAAAGGGTAATTTTTTTCTATTGCTAACGGTTTTTGATTTAATTATTTTATTAGTCATCACAAATGAATTTTCAATGCAAATCTGATTTAATTATCATAAAAAATATGAAGTATTTGATAATAAATTAATTCTTTGTAGAGTTGTAACTGAAAACTTATAATTGAATGTTCTTTTAGGAAAATTATTGGAAATAATTACCGTTTTTATTAATACATTATTCAGTTAAAAATACAAAATAATTGCACTCATCTCAGATTTTCCCCATTCTGTAAACTGTGATTATTAAATTTGAGTCGTTGTGACTATTCTTATTTGTGATTATTTGATTATTCTTATTTCTCTCTACCAAGAGTGTGAAACATCAGTTTAATTTATTTATTGTAAAAAATATATAGGTATTTGTTTTATTCCATTAAAATGGATCGTTCTAGAAGAAAATAGATTTCAATTTAAATAATTTAATTTAATTAAATTTCACTTTTTCATGATTTAAAGTAGGTACCTAACTAGCCTTTATTTTTAAAAAGTTAACATGTACTGAGATATGGCCTTATTAGGTCACTGATTTTTGAGTTGTTCTAAACTATAAGAAAATGAGCAAAAGGGTGGGGTTTACTTTGATTAGAATATTCCTAAATACTCGGTTTTCTGTAACTGAGAACTAACGTTGGAGGGCAAATGGCTTCGAACGGGACTAAACTCGGTTTATTAATGTAAATATCAATATGTTCGTAGAATTTATTTCAACATAATAATATCAATATAATAATATCAATAGTAAGTAAATAGTCACACTAAATAACAGTGAAAATACTTATGACTGTTAGAATTCATTGTTTTACCAAGTTTTATGGAATGAAATTTCAATGTCCTTCACATAATAATAACTTGTGTAAGGAGAAATGTTTATCTACTGTTATAGACAGTATGAGAAGTTATTGCATGAAATATATGTAATGCGTATAATTTTACCTAAAGTCTAACATTTCATTTTCTGGAGTAAGGACTTCCACCAAAGTAGAACTTTATTAAAATCTTCACCATTTTAACTCTACTAATAACTGCAGTAGAAGTCAGCAATATGCAACATACTAATTAAAAAATAAGCTTATATTCATAATCGGTTATGCCAGATTCCTTTTTGCACTAAATTTTATTGAAATATCTTCAAAGAGAAGTTATCTTGGAAAAATGAAGAAAATGTACTGAAATAACTTATTCTAAATTGGTTCATTTTAATTCATGTTAGATGTTATTTTTGAAATATGGTTATTCTGGGCACTGGTATAAAGGACAAATTTTATATTATAATTATTTCTTATTGCAGTTTGGAATTGAGAGTTCCTTTCTTAGATTTGCAGTTTACAAACTATTATCTCAATGTCGATCTTGAATTGAAACAACCAAAAGATGGCATAGAAAAGTATTTGCTGAGGTCTGCATTTGACAAAACTGATGTTTTACCTCATGAAATTCTTTGGCGGCATAAAGAAGCATTCAGGTAATTGATTTGGTTATTTATGTTGATTTATTAATATAAAAACATATGAGTACAAAAATAGGGGATTTTACTCATAAAAATAGTGTTCCCATAGCATTTTTTAAAACTCTTTATTAATAGTTAAACAATTTTGTTGATGATAAAACTACACCTACAAAAAAAATCTAAGTTCTAATGCCTTAAGTAACTAACTGACTACAAAATTGGTCGTATTTTTTTATTCGTTTCTGAGGAAAAAACTCAAATGTTTTGGGACCACTATATAAAAGAAAATATGTTTTGTAAACTTGTAAGAATCCCCTTTAAATACATTGCATATAAAGAAAAATGTGTGATTTAAAAATAATATTTATGGTAGCAAATACTGTTGTAAAATATTAAATATGCAAGTTCTATAAATTTTAATAAATACTCGAATGAAATAACTTTTATGAACAACTTTCTAGTCAATAAGGGTTAAGCCCCTTTAGGATATCAGATTTTTAAGATTTTTTTAGGTTCAGCTTGTTACTAATAAAACATTGCTTGACTGAAGTTGTGATGAAATATTAATTAAAAGGGTAATTTTGAAGTTATATAAATCTCATTAGTATTGGGTTTTCAAATAAGTGTCATAGAAACTTGTACCGTGATTTTTATCTTTAAAATATCCATTCGTAAATAAATTTTACTTGCAATTTTAGTGATGGTGTCGCATCTAAAAAGAAATCGTTATTTGTCATTTTGCAAGAAATTGTGGAAGAGAGATTACCACAGGCTTATGACGAAGCTGCTGCAGCTAAATTGTATCCGCATTGTACTCCCAGCTCAAAAGAGTCGTTGTATTACAGAGGAGTTTTCGAAAAGAGTTTTCAGGACCTGGCTAAAAATTTCTTACCTTATTATTGGATGCCTAGATGGGTAGAAGGAATAACCGATCCGTCAGCAAGATTTATCAAGCATTATGCTGCAGAAGATAACAAATAGATAATAAAAGTGAAGTGCAAGAAAAAAAGTTCAAAATTTTGTTTTATTTATTTACAATTTTTTTGTTGCATAGTTTTTTTTATACATTTTATAATTTAGATCAGAGTTTAGCGATATGCGAGTATGTACCTACTTTTCATTGTGAAATTTCAAAGTGGGCAAAAGTAAGTTTGTTAAAAACAACAAATTAGCAAATCATTAATAAATAATAATAATTAANGCAGCCTGGGATGCGCTTTGCTAAGGTGTCTCAAGTATAAGTGAAAATAGTAAACTTTATAGTAAGAGATGGAAATGCCGTTTCATCATTGTTCATAAGGCAAGGTTCACTAAAGAAATATGGAATTTTATCTTGATTACGTACATTTAGTTCAAAGTAATTCAAAATAAATTGCTAAAAAGCACATCACTGTTATTTTGGTCGTTTCCATAGCAAGACATGCATTCTTTTCAAAGAGCATTTTTTTTATTGGTGTACTGAGTGAAATGGTATTTTGTTTTAGCTTTTGAAATATTTTTTATATAAAATTTTTTTTTACAATCTCAAATTATACAGAGCCTTCATAAATGTTTACAAGCCATGTGACTGTCGAGCTTAGGCAACGCAACATTGCACTACTGGTACTGGTAATGAAAAATCCCTAAATCTTGGTATCACCAATATTGATTCGTTTACAAAGAACAGTAACAAACCATTATGCCTACACTTGAGATAATGAGAGTGCTGATTGGTGGAATAGAACCTCAAAAAATTACACCAATCAAGACTGGTGAGACAGAATGTTGTGTTTTGATATAACCTTGATCTTATTGTTTTAATCATTTTTAATTTTACCAAAATTTAATTACCAACATGAAGGAACAAAATTACTGTTTCAAACAAAATTACTGGTCCCGTGGCTTGTAATCATTTATGAAGGTTCTATTAATTGATAAGAAAATTCAAGCAATTTAGTTTATTTTAATTAAGAACATTAGAATGGAGACATTCTCATTTTCATTTTCAATGCTGGTCCTTATTTCCACATTCCTATATCAATAGAAAAAAATCTTTATTTTTATATACTGGGTGGCTCAAAGTGAGTGGCCTGAGATTATTTCAGAACCTACTTCGATTTCAATTTGGAAAATTGGCACACATCTTTTCAATTCTAATAATTTTGTTCCTTTAACACTTACGGTTATACCGGAAGTTGATGTCAACTTTGTTATTTTAAATGGAACACTGTATATTTTTTCACTTTAGATTCTATGCTTCATTTTAAAGTGACTGTCATCAAGTTTCCCTATTCCTAAAATTATCAGTTTTTGAGATATTTACTTTTTAGGAAAAAAATTAAAAATCAGAACCTATTTTAAAGCCGTGCTCATTCTAAGTTAGACAGATAAAGTAACAATATTTGCAAAAGCAGCAACAATATTTGCAAAAGCAGCAACAATATTTGCAAAAGCAGGAGCTAATACCTAAGCTGCATAACCATATCTTCACAGTTACCAAATTTTATACAGGGTGCTGATAATTCAATACCGAGTTTGGTCTAAAATGATTTTACGTAGTGGAACACCCTGTATATTTTTTCAAATTTGGATATGCCATTTTATTCTCTTTCCATCTATATTATGGTTCCTTATACATATCTCTTCTACTTTTTATGTTATTTGAAGTTATTTGGGTACCCTATTGAAATAAATTATTATTATTACATATTCGTACTTAACTGCGAGGGTGGCTGTGAAATTTTTAGTGTGACTTCAAAACAAATGTCATCAAGAGATTGTACCAGTTTAAAGCAAAATGGATAGAAATAATTATAAACATAAGTTATCATGAATTTGTTATTTATGGGCAACGTGATAGGAACGTTATAACCGGAAGAGTTACAGGAACAAAATTATTAGATTTAAAAAGAGCACACCCAAAAACTTTAGTGTACCATTTTCGAAATTTCAATCGAAGTAGGTTCTGAAATAATTTAATAGGTCATTCATTTTGAAATATGAAGTGGTTCTTATTTGTGGAAGGGCGAAATGGGCGGTGACTATTAGACGTCTTCATTATAGCTATCTTTCTCTATCGCACGGATTTCTATGACTTTCTTTATCGCTCTCACGTAACGGCCGATGAACCATGGGAACTTTCCGACCCTGTATGAGTAAAAAAAATTGATATTGGTTTACACCATTTCAAATTTAATTTTCTTTTCAAATTTTGTCTACACCTAATATTGTCTATTTTTTTTTCTATTTTATAAATTGTGCAAAATGCATTCAGCTGGGTGAATTATGACTATAATAAACTGTACCGTAGTATTAATAGGAACAAGATTTCAATATTAGAAAATATACAGGGTGTAACTAATATACTTGGCCAAACTTTAATGGCAAATTTTGTCACAAAAAATGTTTATGTAAACATGTGTTTGAAAATGCTTCATATATGGGTGTTCAAAAGTAACTAATGAAAATCGGTTTTTAAGTAAAATTTAATTCATGTAATCATAATTCAACAATAATTTTCATTTAAAAAATGTTTTAACATTTTTGCAATAAAGATCTAGTCATAGTCAAACATTTTTTCGTTTATTTTGGAAATGGTGCATTCTAGCGACATGCGGCAAAAGTACATTTTTTTAAAGCATTCATCAAAATAGTGAGTCAGATTTAAAGTAGTTTGGACTAACAAAATACTGGGAACTGGAAGCAAAACCACCCCTGGAATTACGTCCCTGCATGTAACAAATCTGTCATGCACACATGCAGTTTGTGAGCAACAAAAAGTTAAAACAGGGTGTTGCTTAATCTTTTTTTTTTTGTAATTTTAAAATCTATTTTTTCTTACACTGATACTTGTATCTTAAAATTGAAATTTCTGGATGCAAGTTTACACGAATTTTTTTTGTTGATATGCTTTGTAGAATCCACCTTTATAGTTTGGTCAACTATTTTAATTATTATACCCTGTAAATATGTTTTCCTTGTTGGGACATGATAAATTATAATTAATTATTTAACAAGTAGATGTCAGTTGTAACTGACTTGACCCTTCATATTTTAGCTTCCAATAGTTAATTTACAAATTACAAAAAAGGTCTACGAATATGTTTGTTAAGTTTAAACGACTTGCTGCTTTTTGTTTAATACTGTGATAATTTAGTAGTATTTTTATTATGTAAACCAATTTGTACATAAAAAAGCACTTTGTTGTAATGACATTGAACTTTTCCTGAAAATTAAAATATAATAGCATTTACAACTATTTTATTATATTTTTAATATGTTTGTATTCAAAGACAAATATGTATAATTTTTTTGTACCTTTGTAAAACTGATCATGATCAGTGGTCAATGTTGATGTGTTATATTTTTTTTTTATATTTCGAATTGTATATTGTTAAAACTCTATTTATGCACCCATAAATATTTTAAATAAATAAGCAAAATACACATCTGTGTTTCTATCTGACTAAAAATAAAAAAGTTTGTTATTGTTATTACATGGTAACAAAGTTCTATTTTTTAATCATCTTTGGTTTTACACATTCTTAAGATAATTCATTCACAATTTATTGTATTGAATATGTATTTTTTTTTTTAAAACCAATTTTTTTTTGTACCTAACACTAGTCCCCGAATTTTGATGTATCAAGACTGATTCTGAGTGTTTTCTTTAATTTTTGGTCTTTATAATTTTTTTTATCTTTTGGACGATATTTGTTAAAATGTTATTTAGAGAATTGTCACATTTTTAAATAGTTTGCTGACTAGTTTTTAAGTATGGTTTTAAATCTAGTGACCTAACCTGTTGGTCATTTTACCATTTCATCTAACATGCATTAGATATAAAGCACAAGAGGTTCCATTTAATTATTGGCATTGCCCACAGTTTTAAAAGAAGAAGAAAGCCTTCCGCGGCTAGGGATACAGATTGAAAGGAAAGTATCAATAAGATCCACTTCTTATTTGTGGAAGGGCGAAATGGGCGGTGACTATTAGACGCCTTCACTATACTCATCCTTGTCTATAACATGGATTTCTATGGCTTACTTTATCGCTCTCACGTAACTTCAAATAGACCATAGGTACTTTCCTACCCGGTATACTTTATGTAGCTTTCAGAACAACTGTAATGAACAAACAATAAATATTGTTTAAGCAACACATTTTTGTAAATTTCAAGTAAAAGAATATGAATAAAAATTATTTTTTGCTTCAATCCGCCATTTGCAATTCGTAATGTCGTTGAAGATTGAAGTTCTCCCTCCCTTTTCATCTGTGTTCATCATCATTGAAGCAAGGCATTTTTCCTTGTCTGCGTATTCCAAACCAAATTTTTAAATTTGCAAAGTAAAATAAGCTAAACGTAAAGCAAATTAAAAAACGATACGATAATATTCTCTAAGTATCGATACTAGTAAAGTATCGATACCCTCTAAATAACGTTCGCGTCCATATCTACGGCTAGGAGACTTCGGGATTGACGCAACCAAAATAAGAAAAGGTGCTTCAAAAAGAGGCAATTCTTTGCTTAAATTTTTACAATATGGGAATAAAAGTAATAAATGTACCTAATAAACAAATAAATAATTATTCCAATCTAAGGCGCAATACCCTACGGCAATGCCCTGACGGCCTCCTACAAACCAGGGGAAAATCTAAGGAATTTTAAGAACTACCCAAAAACAATCACCCTATGCTAGCTCAAAGAAAGCGCGCGAAAAATTCGATTTGTGCAAATAACTTGTTTCCAATAAAAAGCCTAATAATCAAATTTTGCAGCTGCCCTTTTTGAACTTTTAGAACTAACTTTTTTTTTAAGAACTGCCTTTTCGGTTAGAACTAATCCTTAGATATGTGCTGCTACAAACGTCAAAATTTGTGGGCAAGCGTCAGCCTTGACTAATCTGATAGCATAGCTTATAAATTCAGTGTAACAGGAAACGTGTAAAACAAATAAGATAATAATAAGATTCTGCTGTGCCTATAACATTTTCCTTATTTGTAGTCGGGAGAACCCCCATAGAATTTTGTCATTGGAA